AGCCGATTTGCTAATTAATATGCACATTAGTTTCCTTTCCTAAAAGTACGTGCGATTTTGACCCATTTAAAATTCTCTAACATTTTCCTAATCTAAGAAAAGATATTTAACATGTATATATTTCCTCCTTCGTTAAATGCTCTCTTTTTTCTCTAATTTTCATTGTCTGACTCGACAAATACATGCAAAATTCATTAGTACCGCCGAAAGTGTGAGGGGTGTGAATAATAGAAATCCAACTCATTGGGTTTTAAGCTTTTCCTCTTCAGTGGCTGCTTAATTTGCATGACTCAGCTGAGGAACTTAAATTTGACGTCTAGCTCATATTTACAAAAATGCCAATGATTTTCTTATCATTTATTATTTTGTTGTCCGTAAATCAAACTCTTGTCACCTATGAAATGTTGGATATTTCAATAGGCATCGTTAAAAAGAAATCACATTAGTGTCAATTGTCGTTAAAAAGTGATCATTTCAGTGCCAAGAACGCCACGTGGACTGAATTTTTTGTATAATATACCATAAAAGCCACGTATTATTTTTTGTCGAAATTTCTTGTTATTGGTACTTAAGTGATCCGGTGAAAACTTACACAACTTTTGGCACTTCTAGTGTCTTTCTGCCGCAAAAGCGAGAAGAAACGTGAAGTGGGAGAATACTAGAAAAAAGAAGTGATGGAATTTCTCTCTGTGAAACAAAGGGCTAAAGGAGGAAAGAAAAAAAAAACTTGGTGATATTTTGTGGAATACTTAGTGAACTAGGATCTTTATTTGAGACTAAATTGACCATTTCAATCTCTTATCTGAGATATCGTCTACTTTGGATCCTCTTTTAAGAAAATAGTTTCACGCCCCTATTTGATATTGTCCCCTAACTTAATTGTATGGTCAAATACGAACACAACCAAAATGGATCTTCGATATCTTGATATTTCCCTTTATATCCTTAATTTCAGCACTTCATTTTTCTTGTCAACCTAAAGCATACCTAGTTAGAATATTCAAAGTATGTTTTGAATCTCTTTGCCGTCGAATTCGAAGATGTGACGATATCGGGTGTGCCACTCTTTTGGGACCTCGTCTTCTCTTATTAATCATTAATCATTTGTCCGACATATACATAAGAAATATTACCATAACTTTTGATTACCTAGTTATAAAATATGGTTTTTTTTTTGGGTAAGGGTTATAAAATATGGTTAATATCACTAAAAACCCCAAACTGGTACACTTGTGATAAATTCACCCCAAACTAATTTTTTCACCACGAAATACCCAACCTGGTACACTTGCGACAATTTTACCCCAAACTAATTTTTTGACCACCAAAAACCCCAAACTGGTATATTTGTGATAAATTTACTTCCATTAGTTTCCGTTAAATTGGATTAATACATCAAAAAATCACAAACTAGTACACCTATGACAAACGGAGGATAAAACCCAAAACTAGTACATCTGGCAACTACTATATATCATTTAACAAAGTAATTTATCAGTAAAATTTAACGAAAACTAACGGAGGGTAAATTTGTCACGAGTGTACCAGTTTGAGATTTTTCGTGGTAAAAAAATTAGTTTGGAATAAATTTGTCACAGATATATCAATTTAGGATTTTTCGTGGTAGTAACCCTATAAAATACTATGATGCAATTGATCGATTTTGATCATCGAAAATTTTCAAGACCGTCCAAAAAGTCAAATACTCAATAGTATGAATCCATTTTTTTAAGAGTGAAATTCCCTTTTTATTTTTGCTTCCTCTCCTCTCACATACGCACAAAACTCACACACATCAATTTTATCATAAATGTATCACTTTGGGATTTTTGGTGGTTAAAAAATTAGTTTGGAGTAAATTTGTTACAGGTATACCAGTTTGGGATTTTTGGTGGTCAAAAATTTAATTTGGAGTAAATTTGTCATAGGTGTACTAGTTTGGATTTTTTCGTGGTATTATCCCTACGGTTGGACCCAAAGTGACCCTTTTGTTTGAGGTTAGATATTTTTTGAGATTTCCCTTCCTACACTTGGCATGAAGAAATGCTTCTTTATTTCTTTTTCAAGAATATCCGAGGAGAGGAACATGCAAAATTGGATAGGAAGAAGCCGGAAGAAATTTCAAACTTTTCTTGCGACATAATTCTCGACTATTCCATGTGCAAGCACGATTGCCACTTGCCCCAAATAACTCGACAACCTTCCAATTCTTCTTATTCGAAATATGCTTCGAATAAATTATTGATCCGTTTCTTGACAGTTTAAATTTTTAAAGGAAAAAAAAATCGAATTATCCAATGCCATAATTGTCATATCCCCCTCCCCTCAACCCCAAAAAGAAATTATTTGCCATTTGGAAGAGATCATGGTGTGAAAACTAATGATGGCATTGCTGATTAGGACAACAATATTGGCAGTGCGTATGATGCTTCTTGCCACGAAAACATCATGCTGTATGGTCCAAAGCTTTATCTTTTTCGCCCCATAATTAGTCTTTTTTCATTCATGTATTGCCCAGCAAAGTTGAGATGACCAAGGGCCCCAAAGGCATGTGAGCTTCCTGGCCAAGAAAGCTGTTGGAATGACTAATGAAAGAAATACTAATCCTTTGAGTTGAGACTTGATCTGGGTGACATTGAGTGAAATCTTGACAGCGAGAGCGTGTGAGAGAGACAAAGAAAGAGGAAGTTACTGAAATGTACTCCATGAAATTGGCGCGATGACCTCTATTAAGGTCACGATGGCCCACGGGAGACCTTGTTGAGGTTGCTAGGAGGCAGCGGCTCTGTCGCCACGTACAAGTGGTGCTCGGAGGCCGTGGCGAGGGGACTACTGTGGTTGTTCTTCGGTCGGGGTTTCACGGATAGAATTATTTGTGTGGGTATGAAGAAAGAGTATGGCTAATTTCATCAGAGGTTGCAAAATGGGATTTCAAAATTAGAGGACGCAAAGTGATGGGGCAAGAAAAACTCGAGAATGGATAGTTAACTGGTAACAAATTCTGGTAGATGCAACAATCTCGACCGATGAGGATGCCCGGTTCTGACCGAGCTCTTTTGGGCTCGAGCCTTTTCTGGACTAGGTCTTGTTGTACACCATAATGAAAGGAAATTTCCTGAATTTAACCTCGGTAGGACTCTCCGATACTTGAGTCGGTATCAAGGGATGATGAAAGGAAAGGAGCCCGGCTCAAGAGCTTTCTCTAGAAGAGAGCCAACGAGCCAAAGAAAATGTGGGGCTCATCCTTACCCATTTATATATCACGATGTAGCTATTCTTTCTAGGCGTTACCATGAATGTCTTATTGCCGTTTGTGGAATATTCAAAGTTTGATCCATAACTGCTCAATTCATTCGGTATGTCAGCCGCCGCCACAGCCCCACTAGCACGCCAGAAGCCACAAACTCTCTTTTCGCATGAAGTAGCAAATACCTAGCGCACAAGTTGGCCGGACCGCTCACTCACGACATGACTCGAACTCTTTATCATCACCAAGCTGCTGCGCTGCTCGGCGGTGGATCCCGAGCTCGTCCTCCAAGTAGGGTTTCTAGAATCTCAGCAGGCCATGGCCAACATGGGATCCACATGACGACGGGACATACCGTTTGGAAAAAAATTGAAAATGGGCCGGGCCTACTTGTACTTCTCATTGGACAACTCGACAGTGATTGAGGCCCAACCAAATGGGCCTGATATTCTCACCCCACATCACCACCAATATGTGCCCCCCCCCCCCCCCCCACCCACCCACCCACCCAAACCAATCATGCTATCTTCAGGCTTTTTCTTCTTCTTTTTCTTGGGATAATGACACAAATAGTTCCTAAACTTTAACTCAATGTGCAATTTGGTCCCTGAACTTTAGCCTAATGTTCAATATGGTCCCTGAACTTTTGGTACATGTTCAATTTAGTCCTTGAACTATATAAAAATGTACAATATAATCCATAAACTTGAATTAATGAAACGACTACATAGAACATTTTCATAAAGCCCAGAGACTATATTGAACATGTACCAAAAATTTAAGGACCGCATTGAATAAATTGAAAGTTCATGGACCACATTGAACATTGGATTAAAGTTCAGGATTATATTGAACAAATTAAAAGTTCAGGGATCAAATTACACATTGAGTCAAAGTTGAGGGACTGTTTGTGTTATTTTCTCTTTTTTTCTTTGAATTCTTCACGTAACAAATGTTGGAAACAGTTCGTAATACCCACCTACGAATTTCTTTCGTGTTGTATCACAGCTCTACGAGCATGCGTTTTGGATGGATTAGATCATTATTAATTTGCGTAACTCGAGAAAATGATGCTTGTTTGGCATGATTTAACTAGCATCATGAGAATCACCGAAAATTCTCCAAAATAAGCGTAAATCGAGTGAAAGCCAAGATTAACAATTTTACGTTAGAATCAAATAAGCAAATGTTGGAAATTGGAAGACATTGATTGCTGTAAATCTTTTTTCACAAAATACTTTATACAGTATGAGTTGGAATTATCATATGATGAAAACAAATTATTCAACAAATTATTCTTTTTTTTTATAAAACACTTTAGGTAGCGTCAATAGTAATTTTCATTATAGGCCGAAACTAAAAAAAGGGCATTTTGAAAACAAATTCAAATATTAATCTCGCCACGTCATCATCTGCTTGTGTCCACGTCATCACGGCTGCCTGTTACCGTCTCCATTCCCACACGCTCCACGCAGTGAAAAGCGAAAGTCGGAAATCACCGTAGACCACACAGACACCGACGCCATGCACGAGCATGGCTGCGCCTCGTCCGATTCTCTTCAATAACCTCCGCCCAAACCACGATTTACCAGCAAACCACGGCAAAAGATCACGTAATTACGACAACGAGTAAGGTCATAATGGACATTTGGGTCACGAACTTTGAGTCTAAATTGTAGGGGAGATCCCCCTCAATTCTCTATCACCAAAGCTTTTTAAACGCACTTCGCTCACCCCATCGTACCCAGAAACAATGGCCAACACATCCACTAATGGCCGCCGCCTTGCCTCCGCCCTCCTCCTCCTCGCCGTCCTCGCCCTCGGCCTGATCCCCAATGCTTCCGCTGAGCCCGCCCCGGCCCCACCGGCATGCGGGTCCGAGTCCCGCGGCGGGTGCCACGATAGGAGCGAGGCCCTGAAGCTCAAGGTGGTTGCGATCGCGGCCATCTTGGTCACGAGCATGATCGGGGTCGGCCTGCCGCTGTTCTCCCGGGAGGTCCCCGCGCTGAAGCCCGACCGGAACCTGTTCGTCATCGTCAAGGCCTTCGCCTCGGGGGTCATTCTGGCCACGGGGTACATGCACGTGATGCCCGACTCCTTTGATGACCTGCGGTCCGAGTGCCTGCCCGAGGTCCCGTGGAGGAAGTTCCCGTTCACGACGTTCGTGGCGATGCTCTCGGCCTTGATCACTCTGATGGTGGACTCGTACGCCATGGCCTACTATAAGAAGATCAATGCCAAGATAAGTGGTGATGGCGGCGACGGTAATGGCCAGGCGAAGGACGCGGTGGCGGGGTTAGAGCACGGAGGGACCGATGCACATGCACATGGCGGTGCTGGTGGTGCGATTGATGGGGAGAAGGCGCAACTGCTTAGGTATAGAGTGGTTGCTCAGGTACTGGAGTTGGGCATCGTGGTGCACTCAGTGGTGATCGGCCTCTCGTTGGGGGCCTCCGATAATCCGTGCACGATCCGGCCGCTCATCGCCGCTCTCTGCTTCCACCAAATGTTCGAAGGGATGGGCCTCGGCGGGTGCATACTACAGGTACATCAACACGAGAACCCGTTATTCGTTCAAAACTATTTCGTGTATTTTTGGCAATGATTGGATGCTAACATGAACGAGGCGACATGACGCGTGACCGACAGGCGGAGTTCGGGCTCTCGGTGAAGTTCATCATGGCCTTCTTCTTCTCGGCCACGACCCCGTTCGGGATCGCTCTCGGGATCGGCCTGTCGAACGTGTACAGCGACAGCTCCCCGGCGGCCCTGATCGTGGAGGGGCTGCTGAACGCCTCGTCGGCGGGGTTGCTGAACTACATGGCGCTGGTGGACCTCCTGGCGGCCGATTTCTTGGGGCCGAGGCTGCAGGCCGACATGAAGCTCCAAACGTGGTCCTACGTCGCGGTCCTGTTCGGGGCGGGATTCATGTCCTTGATGGCGAAATGGGCTTAGCTTGATTTTTAGTGAATTAGGTGTTTTATTCCTTTTTGTCTTGATCGAAATCCGTATGGGTGGAATTATTGTAATTTTTTTTTCAGAGGGAATGGAATTATTGGTGGTGAAAATTATCATTTGGCGTTGATATTTCTTAAATCTCAAAAACTTTTTGTAGATGTTGAATCTGGCCGCCATCGAAAATCGAGCCCGAGGCTCGAATTCTTCTAGCCCGATAAGAAAACCCGGACCTTATCAAATCGATCTAGTTTGGGCTGAGCCGGGCTCTAAAATAAATTTTTTGGTTTTTTTTCTATTGTGTGCGCACTTGATCCGTCGAATTTTAAGATCCAAAAACACAAATCTCATATGAAATATGCGTACAGTATTTTAAGTAATTTACACTGTAGTACCGAGGTATCTATGAGTTTCAAACGATGTCACAGATAAAACCTGAAAAATCATTGCACAAATGATGATAATAACTCTTCATCAAGATCTAACATCTGTAATCAAAAGTTATATGAAACCCCACAACTGATCCAAGTTAATATGCAATCATCGGCTACCACAGTGCATGAGAGACGTCACACATCCAACCTTTTTATTTAGATCATAAAAAAAAACTTTGCCTAAGTTTTTACTCAATCATGAAAAAACATGCCTCTACTTTTTAAAATAAAAAGTTTGGTACCTCGACTTAGTAAATTTGTACATTCATTTACAAGATTGTCATTTCTCTTTTCAATAATGCCCTCTGAATCTCCTCACACCCACCCACGTATGAACTATAATCAACAAGACACGAGCCACAGACCCCCATCAGTTGCCACAGCCCCTGCGGCCGAGGTCTCCGGCTGCTTGCCTAGTCTCCTTCGGCGCTACCTTGAAGCTACCCATCCCAAATTTCATCATCCTAGCCCCGTCGTCCCCCACGATCGCCTCTCCATCTCGCGGAAGAGAGAGGGGGGCCTGACATAGCAATGAAGAGAGAGGAACAGGTCCAACATGGCAACGGGCAACGTCGGCGGAGTTTTTAAGACGGCGGAGATGGTGGCCGACTGCAAGGGAGGGCAGCGACGGAGCTAGGTTGAGAGTTCAGATCGTAGGTAATATGAGACTGGGGTTTTGGGGATCTTTACACAAGGAAGGATAATTAGTCATTTTAATGGGACCAAAGTATGTAATTTGTATTCTTGAAAGTAGAGGTATGTTTTTTTTTTTTTGTCATGGGGTGAAAATTGAAGCATATGTTTGGTATTTTTCCTTTTCTTGCTTGTTGCTCCAAAACCAAAAGGTGGGTTTTTTGGATTAGGATCTATTCCTCTGCCATTTGATTGAAAGATCTAAGGATAAACAATACTGATTAGGCTTAAGAATGATGCTGAGTTGGCTTATTGAAATAGAGGGGCTACGAAATTTGCTGAGCTAGCTTCTATTTATTGAATTTTTTTTTGTCGAAATTCAATTTATTGAAGTTTAATCGTCTACAAGAATAGGTTTTTACTAGTCTACTTTTTCCATGCTATCACATGGGTCTTGTCTTTTTTAATTTTTCATAAATTTGTATTACCAATGTTCCTTCTCTAACTTTGCATATTTAGCTTGTATGAGAATATAACTTTTTTGGAATTACAGTAATGACAATAATCATGATATCTGATATATGAAGTAGAAAAACAATTGAAAAAAGTTGTCACGTGAAAACAATAAATATTGGTAAATACATAAATTGAATTGTCTTAAGTATATGTTATTCATATAAAAAATTTGATATGTCATATATTACTGTATATACAAAAGTTAAAATGAATTTTATATCGAGTCATTTCATTTATAATTTGACACGACTACTTTATCGCCATCTTCTCTGAAAACACAAATAGCAAATATTGTATTTAATCACGTGTTGTATTATACAAAAAAAAAACAGTATTTTAATTATACTGTCTATGTTATGAAGTAGACTCGTATTTATATTATAATTATAGATGTATGTCCAGCACCAAAGCATACTATGCACAATAAAGTAATATTTATCTGCATACTGTATTATTTGATTGAAATTTAGCCTACTCTCGGCTGTATTACAGATTGTATTGTACACAAGAAAGTCTAATTTTGTCCCGATTTTTGTATAGGGATAGATTTGTAGTATTTTCTCTTTACCACATAATATGATATGCACAACAAATTTAAACTTATTCAAATCTATAACTATGGATATTTTCTCATTACTAAATAATATCTCGAAAGTTGGATTCACATGATGTTTTTTATTTATTTATCAGAATCAAGTATATTAGAGATTTTATGAATACAAGACACTTAGATAACTAAATTAAGTTCAACGAAAAAAACTTTTAAACATTATCATCGACAAACTTTAAGAAAAAGCCTTTTAATTTTGTTGATGACATACTACTATTTACAAAGAGGGAAAATAAATTAAATGTCTATCTTTTACATAGTAATTCAACTAAAACTTAATTCAAATGAACCAAAAAGAAAAATGACATAATTAATTTGATTAATTTAAATGCTCATAAGTTGCAAAGTATTTAGCATAATATTTTGGATTAGATAGTATTAGTTTAACTGTGCACTTCAATTAGTTCACTTTCTTTTACGTGCAGAATAATTAAGACATTTATATTTGCAAATAGTTCTTTTGGCCGAAATATTTGTAGATAGTTAATAACTGAAAAAATAAACTAAAAGCAAAAGTGCAATACTCAAGGCACGCGTTCAGCGCACACATCACTCCTACCGCTAAGCAAGAACTACAAATTATGGCGGGACAAATAGCAACGCCAACTCATTTCAATGCATTAACTCGTCAGTCTTTCGTTTATTGCAGAGGGTTTCTAAGTGCTTTTCTTTTAACCACTTCCATTGAAGACGTCGAAATTAGGGATAATCGATTCCTAGTCTAGTTCGATTCCAAGGCGGAACTGGGAATCATATCGAGAGGACCGATTCCCAAAATTGGAAATAGGGACCGATTTGCTAGAAAGCGGACAGACCATCGTCCAATTATAACCGGCACTTAAGGTTAGTTCACATTTGAAATTTACTTCAATAATGATTCACTTAAAGTTTAGTTCATATTTTACTGATTTTTTTGAAGTACATGTAGTTGGTCCCGTTTCCCCTTGAAACCAGGAATCGGACCGCCCGACCACAGGTTCCACTCCTAGGAATCGAAAATCGAACCACCACACTCCTAGGAACCGGTCCAAACTAGCCAGTTTGGTCCGGTCCAAATGGTTTCCAGTTTGGACGGTTTGTTTTGCATACCCCTAATCGAAACCCTAATTTGGCCAATTGGGTGAGAAAGAGCATATCCTTCTTCTATATGTGTCCAATTGATTTGACAAAAACCCTAATCCCCAATTTAATCGAGCGTCTTTTATCTCCTCATCTTGTTTAGTTTCCCCTAAAGGATGTCGGTTTGGGAAACCGTTTCTAGGTTCATGTTCATGATCGATCCGTCATTCGCCACGTTGGATCCTTCATTCAAGCGACGTTCACGACTATCCCTCCTTATTCGTTTTAATGAGGAAAAGCCATCGGAAAGAAGATGAGAGTACCGATTTGAAATTTTACAATGGAAGCATAAAAATACGAATTTCACGTATAGCAACCGTATACCAACCTCATTATACGGAAGCATAAAAATTTAAACAAAAAAGACAAAAAGAAGGGCAAGAAAAGGAAATTACAAAAAAAAAAAAAAAGCTACGTGAAATTTGGGCCACGAGCACGAAGGTTGACAGAAAGAGAGAGAGAGAGAGAGGCACAAGCAAAGAGCTTTCCATTCCTCTGTTTCTCCGCCCAAACACCATTCTTCTTGTGCACTCTCTCTCTCTCTCTGCTGCGGGGTTGAACAACCAACGCCTCTCCCTCTCAATTTCTCCGCCCGATTCACTCTCTCCCTCCCCGTATAAAACATCACCCTTCTCTCTCTTTTCCCTTCGCTCTCCTCTCTCTCCCTCTCTCTCCCTCTCTCTCTGTCTCTCGTCATTTCTTGCGGGTTCTGCTGCAACATCTCCCATGGCCGCCGCGGTTTTCCAGGGATTCGGGGCTTCCACGGCTCTGTCGCTCTCCAAATCCTTCGACTCCAAAAGGGTCAAGCTCCCCTTCGGCAGATCTCTCTCGGGTTCGCTTCTTTTTCCCGGGGCTTTTCCTTGGCTCTGGTTTCTTGGCGCTGCTCCGTTGCGAATTTCGTAAATTAGTCCTCGCTTGGTCACGGACGGAGCGTAGCTGGCATGTTCATCGGATTGTGCCTTTTGGGTCGATCTCTATAGTTCGAGAAATGAAAGAAATGCGGTTGATTGATTCACATGTTTAGTTAAGAGGGAGAGCCGAATCGCATTGCGTGGGAATGCTGGAACATGATTTCCTTTCTTGGTATTGATTACTTCTTCTTTTTCTTTGTTCCTGTGCGCTTTTGATGTAGAGAGAAGAGCAAGTTTTGTTGTGGTCGGATCTGATGGGAGAGTGGTTTCTGATTCGAGGCGTGCCCAAAGGCTCGTCACCAGTGCAGTTGCAGTTAATTTCTTTCTCTCTCTCCCTCGTTTCTTGGTTCTTTTAATTTATCGAATTTGGTATTCGAGCTTGAGATTCGGTTCATGTTTTTTCTTGTGGCTGTGTAGACGAAAGCGGATGGCGCGGCAGCGACTTCGGCATCCAAACCCGGGTACCTCATTCTTTTCCAATCACAATTGATTGCTGTTGTGGTAGTCTCTGGTTTTACATTTATTTGCATTTCCTGTTCGAGTTCATTCTTTCATTTTGTGGGAAACTTGCTCTACTGTCCCCTTCCTCTTTAGGTAAGTTTACATCATCAAGTAGCCCTTTTTTTGCCGAGTATGTTCAACAAACCAGACACTGTCTCTAATCAAGCTTTTTAATCACATTGTTTTAGCATTTCTATTAGTAATTTGGTGTGTCAATTCTCTGGGTTCTAGAGGATGGTCTGATGTTATTCTCTTCATTCTGGAAAAGAGTTGGGACCGTTAGTCCTCTATAAATTGCATTTGTTTAGGCAAATAGGTGAAAGTTTGAAGCATGATTGGAAGTTTGTTTGCTTATGTAAAGCTTTGATTTTTTGTGTCGATTGTTGGGTAGCGTTATCTTTTAGTCCCCTTAGACTTTCCAAGTCTGATGAAGACATAATCCTATGTGATTGATGTGATTGTCAGATGACGGTGATAGATAGCTTAGCTGGGTAATATCTACTGTGAAGCATCGTTGTGGAGACATGCTAACAATAAGTTTTTCATAGGTTCTGCTTCCCCTAGATGTAGGACCGACAACACACTTAGCTTACGTTTGGAACGATACAGCTCGATCGTGTGAATGAACATCAAATGATAGAGATATTGCTTGCAAGTCAAGCTAGGATAGCTGTTGGCACAAATGAGCTTTTTCCCCTTGTGTCGCAATTCTATGGTACAGCCCCACATGACTTCCGCAAAGTTCATATTATGTTTTAACGTTACGGTTTGTAAAGTATCCTTCACTTTGAAGATGCCTGAGAAAGAATCAAATTAGAAATATTCTGCAAAACTAAGTTCTCATTTTGTGTGCTGACTTTGATAGAATGTAGCGTTATGAAGAAAGAATCAGATTGCAGCTTCCAGTGATTTCATCCCTTAAGAACTTTTGCTCCCAAGGAGCAGATTCTCATTTTGATTTGAGTAGTAAGATGACAAAAGCTAAGTTGAATATATCTGGGAAAACTACAGAGGGCGGTATCACTGCACCACAAGTCAGTCCGTAATTGATCCTCTGTCCACTCCAGACTCCCGCATTAACGAACCGTGTGAAGTTACTCAAACCTACCTATGTGCTTTCACTAGCTAATGCCATTAGAGAATCAAACTGTTGCATTATTCCGGGCCCTTTTGGAGGTCCATGCTTCAAAATATGACCTGCTTTCAGAGGCTTCCTCGTTCTGTGGAGAACCTCCAAAGTGATTTCCAAAAGGTCTTGATTAACTCTCTCTCTCTCCCTCTATACAGCATCGATTGCTGAATTATCTTCCACTTAAGTGAGATGAGTTTCTTGTCATTATCACTGTTGCCCTAGAAGAAAAGCTCTTTGAATCCTAGAAGGTGAGCACACCCGTAGACCCAATAAAGATTTATATGTTTAATGCACGGAATTACTCTCTGTCACAGGATGGAATATTCGAATTAGAGATCAATGTTAGTGTCTCATTTCCTGATTATTATGTGCCAGATGTGAAAAGTACCATTTGCTTGTTTTGTGGGATGATAGGCATATTGATCGTGTTTATGCAATGTGCCGTTTGCTTTCCATTTGCATTTTTGCTGCGTATGCACATGGTATATATTGATGCAGAGGATGAATTTTCATTTTTCTTGGAGAGAGAAACTGCGTATATAATTTGCTTAAATATGTGGTTCTGTGTCGTGGTAGTGTAATATGGATGAACTTTTGTCTCCTGTGGACATGCATTTTCCTAATTGAGTACTGAAGCAGTTCTAGATTCAGATTTATCTCTGCATTGGTTTTTAAACCATTGATAGTATCCTTCATTCGTTAAGCCATAGCTTTTCCCTGTCTGGGATGTAGGAACTTGTTCTGTATGATGTTTATGCCATTTCCTTTAACAGGTGATATTCAAGCTTCGTTTTACTGTATGTTTCATCCCTCATCTCAAATTTTAAAAAACTAACTAGGCCTAGCCAATAAAAGCTTTTTCCAGACTTTACATATTTACGGTATAATATTATCAACAAAAGCACTGTCCTTGCATCTACACGGATCTGCATTTCCATGTTTTAGGAGTCATTCTGATAATACGATCTGATTGAGAATCCAACCGAGTCTTTGTATTTGATTACCAGGCATGAGCTTTTGCTTTTTGAAGCTCTTCAAGAAGGTCTGGAGGAAGAAATGGAGAGAGATCCCCATGTCTGCGTGATGGGTGAAGATGTGGGTCATTATGGAGGATCCTACAAGGTCACTAAGGGACTAGCTAAGAAATACGGCGACCTTAGGGTTCTTGACACACCCATTGCTGAGAACTCCTTCACGGGAATGGGAATTGGAGCTGCCATGACTGGCTTGAGGCCGATCGTGGAAGGTATGAACATGGGGTTTCTCCTTCTCGCATACAACCAAATTTCCAACAACTGCGGCATGCTTCATTACACTTCTGGAGGCCAATTCAAAATACCAATAGTTATACGCGGCCCTGGTGGAGTCGGGAGGCAACTCGGAGCTGAGCACTCACAGCGTCTGGAGTCGTACTTCCAGTCCATCCCTGGGATTCAAATGGTTGCGTGCTCGACCCCATATAACGCCAAGGGCCTGATGAAAGCCGCAATTCGGAGCGACAATCCTGTTATTCTGTTCGAGCACGTCTTGCTGTACAATCTCAAGGAGAGGATTCCCGATGAAGAGTACGTGTTGTCCCTTGAGGAAGCCGAGATGGTCAGGCCCGGAGAGCACGTGACGATCCTGACGTACTCAAGGATGAGATATCACGTGATGCAAGCTGCGAAAACTCTGGTGAACAAGGGCTACGATCCGGAAGTGATCGACATCAGGTCGCTGAAGCCATTTGATCTTCACACGATCGGGAATTCCGTGAAGAAAACTCACCGTGTGTTGATCGTGGAGGAGTGCATGAGGACGGGTGGGATCGGCGCCAGCTTAACGGCAGCTATCAACGAGAACTTCCACGACTATTTGGATGCCCCAATAGTGTGCTTGTCTTCTCAAGACGTGCCGACCCCATACGCTGGGACATTGGAGGAGTGGACGGTCGTTCAGCCCGCACAGATCGTGACGGCAGTTGAGCAGCTCTGTCAGTAACTAAACGGCCAAAGGAGGCGCCACAGGCTGCGCCAACAAGCCACCCGTGTCCTTTTTCCTATTTATAGCAGCATAATTCTTTCTGAACCGTCTTTTGAGCTCATGGTCATCTCCTTATGATAATTGAAGTATTTTCTGTGGAAACTTGCAAGTTCTTGACCGTCATCTGAGGCAATAGTTTGGTGTTTTTCCTCGTTTAACAGGCACATAGGACCTTAACTTGTTTGTGATTTGCCTTTCCATTGCGTAACCGCGATTACATTACATATAGTCAGGATTTGTGTTTTGTATGTGATGGACTACATTACATATAGTCAGGATTTGTGTTTTGTATGTGATGGACGTTTGTTTCGTGAAAAATGATTGATTTGAACAAAAAATTTCAAGAAAAATCGTTTGTATCGTTTATAAAATTGAATAAAATATTTAAATATAAATTATTATCGGTAATGAAAATATTTTTTATCTTGATGCAATTGATTTAAAAAATTATTTTTTAAATTATTCATTTTGGATAATCAATTGTATTATGATAAGCAATTGTATTATCGATAATCAATGAAGCGGTTCTCCCGACATCTATTGTATTATCATTGACTTTCGTGGGTCTGTTCTTTCAAGACATATCTATATCGGGAAATAGAGGTACAATTGCTTATCATAAAAACATTTCAAATTATTGACGTTAAAATAAGAGTGATTAAACATAATCTATATATATATATATATATATATATTTATGCTACTATTTGGGTCATTTTGGACGTACGTTGATTTCACTAGGACGTATTAAGCTTGCTCGTATTTGCTTGTTATGGTGCTGATGAATTACTCCGTGACTGTGCAAAATGAATAGTATGATAGACGAATTTAGAGTAGACAATTTTGGAAGAGGCTAAATTCGTATAAATAATATGCAAATATCAACACATCAATCATACGTCTCGTGATGAATATTTACTTGAAGATAAGACGAGTTTCAACTTCTGTTATACGGATGGAGTCTCAAGCATACGCTTCATTATAGTCAACTCGACTCATAACAATAATAGTATGCTTTAAATAATATTAAAAAATAGGGTCAATATTACGAAAAATCCCAAACTGGTATACTCGTGACAATTTTATCCCCCGTTAAATTTTATCATCAAATTTCTGAGTTGGATAACACGTAATAGTTGACTGGTGTACTGGTTTGGGGTTTAGTGTATCAGTTTATGATTTTTTGTGATATTAATTCAACTTAACGAAGGGTAAATTCGTTACAAACGTATCAATTTGGGATTTTTTATGGTAAAAAAATTAGTTTGGGAGAAAAAGAGTAGTGAGAAATACGCATATTTTTTTTGGTCAAAGATAGGATAATGAATGCGAGGATAATTTAGGAAGTTTAAATGAATGATTTAAAAAATATTTTCTTAAATTTAATCGCTTGTAGATGATGAAAGAAATTTCATTGATTAATTATTTTAAGTAATACAAGCGAACATTTTTAGGAAAATATTTTTCGAGAAACAACCGGAACCTAAAAGTGAGAAAAGAGATAAAAAGTGAGTTGTTATTTATGGAACGAGACAAAATTGTATTTGGCAATAATATATGGGCGCATAGTAATATCACAAAAAACCCCCAAGCTATGCTTACTTTTTTTATGTGTCACAAATACCCCCGGCTTTTTTTTTTGTGTAGGGAAAAAACCCAAACTTATGCACTCTCTATTTCAATTCCATCCATCCAGTAAATTTGTCACACCGTTATAAGTTCGGGGGTTTTTTTATGACACTAGAAAAAGTTCGGGATATTTGTGTCGCAATGGGAAAAATTTAGGGTTTTTAAAAGAAAAATTCGAGACATTCGTGTCGCGACGGGCATAGGTCTAGAAATTTTTTTTTTTGGTGGCGTTAACCCTAGATATATTGATGATAATAATAATCTAATTTTATGTGTGAAAAAAAAAGAAATAATAAAATTAATCTTATATCTCAAAGGGGATAAAAAAATATAAGAATAGTGTAAAATATCTCACATATCTCTTGCCTCCTTCGTCCCCGTTTCTCATTAACTCTTCTCCCCTCTTTTTGCCTTCTTCGCTCGCACGGCGCAGCCGCCCCCTCCCTCGCCGCAGCCAAACCCTCGCCGCCATCGCCATCGCCGCCGCCGGCCCTCCCCCCGCCCGACTCCGGCCTCCGCCCCGCCGCCCCCCCGCCGGCCGCAGCAGCCCGGCCCGAAGCGACCCAGCTCCGTCTCTCTCGCTTTTGCCCCCCCCCTCTCTCTCTCTCTCTCGCTCGCTCGCTCGCTCGCTTTCTCTCTCTCTATCCGTAGCGCAACCCTAGCTCCGCCTCTCGATTTCCCTTCGCGGCCCGCCGACCTCCCCGATTGCCGGCCCTCCTCTGCCGTCCGACGCGCCCGGCCCGCCGATTCTCCGTCGGAAAACAAGGTGAGTCTTCGTTCCTCCTCCTTTTTGTGTGCGGGGGGTGGGGGGGGGGGGGGGGCTTGTAAGATCGCGAGATGCGCGGCGCCAATTGCCCGCCGCCGTGTGCGGGATTAGAACGCCGGCGCGCTGCCGTCCCCCGGTGGTGGTGGCGGTGGAGGGGGGGCGGGTTTTTCTTCGCGCGATGCGGGGCAGGGGGGCTTGATCCCCGTGCCCGTCCCTAGGGTTTTCGGGAGTGTGCCTTTTGTTTTCGTGTCTCCCAAAGCTTGGATTTTTCTCTGGCTGGAATATGCGATTCTTGTGTGAGTGTGTCTATTATCCTATAGCAGTCAGCTCGCAACAACTGACGCGGGATTTTACCCTAATTTTCATCCGGCTGGAGTTTATACCCTAATCCCATAGAGAATATATATTTTATTCCTGTTTTCAGATTTCTCTGGGTGTTTCGTTGTTTCTTGAATCTCGACTATTTGTTAGTTCTGCAGAGCTGGATTCAACCTCATCCTGGTCTAAGATTCTTTGAGCTCAAATTTCACAGTTTGTTTCTTTAGGAGTTTCTGTTGGCTTAGGTGATGTTTGACAGACACTTAACAATACCTTTCCCACTGTTGAATTGCGAATCAGCGTGTGTATTTGGTATTATTGGCACTCTTGGAACACTCTGTTCTTTATTATCTTGTTTTTTAACTTAACTGGAAAAGGGTGATCGAGGTACTTCACTTTGATCAATTTCTAATGAAGAGAACCAACTTGAGTCACTGCTTATTATCGTCCCTAGTTGAATTAGATAATCTATCAGTTGGTATACTTGAAACATGACAGAGGTACACAGAATTCGTAATTTGAAACACAGGAAAAAAGGAACACTAAATAGGAATATATCAGACCGAACTCCCAAATTGTATAGATAGAAATAGTCGGCTTGCTGAACTAATGTACTTTGACCCTGAAGCTCCAACTTAAGAAATAATAGAGATCACATCTTCTAAGTAACGCGAATATACTTGTTAACTACCTCGTTATTTTTAGTTTCTGTCGTTGTGTAGGTAGCTCTTTTGAGCTCGGTCTTTTTGTACTTTTAGATCCTTTCTATCTTCTGGGATGTAAATGGGAGGCATGCCGTTGGTGCTCTTAAAATACTTATAAAACAAATGAGAATACTGTTTTATTTTAAGAATCTGTGGATCCGCTCTAGTTTGCTTGTCAAAAGTCTAGGAACTTAAGAGGCATATCCATAGCATGATATTAACAGCAAATAAGCGCAAAATTATGTAATTTAAACATATCGTAGTAAATAAGAACTGTATCGTATGTGTGGTGCACACCATGGAATTGGCTTAGTGGTTGAAAAAGGACTTGTTTGTGACAGGTTTGGTTCACCACATCTTACACACATTTCCTTGTTGAGCCATCCTCTCCAGTTTTGCTCGCTTCTTGCTTGGTCCATAAGGTTACTGGGTATTTATTGGGATCAAGAATTACTTATCTAATGTAGGCTTTCTGTCATAAGGATTATTTTGCATGGGCGAGCGTGTGCGTGTGCATCTGTATAGAGAGGAGAGAGAGATGATAATAAGCATTGGTAGTCTGTGTTGATTGTTACAACAACAAAGCAAGTCTTATCTCACTAATTAGGATTGGTTATATGAATCCTTTTAGGTTATGCGCTTAAGTCACGTGCTTGCTTATGTACCTAGTTTCCTGTGAGATCCTAGTATCCTGTATCCTTGTTGTTTCTTTCCATGTTGTTGTAATTTCTCTGTCCTTTTAAGTTTTACCCTCTCTATCCCATAATCACATCTCGCCACCACCTCAAGCTTGCTTTCTCATCTTGATTTGGGTGCACTCACTTTTCCACCAGTATTTTCATTAATAATATCGTCCTTTTCTCAAATGCTCACAATTCCAGCAAAGCTGTCTCATCTATGCTATAGTCATTGTCCTTTTGTTAGGCTTCAATTGCTAGCTTACCCATGTCATAAGCATAATGCTCGATGCTAGGTACAGGAAGATTAATATACGAAATTAGTACATTAAATTATGTGACAAATAGCTAGGGGGAATTTTCTATAAGAGCGTATCTCATAAGTTAGTATATCAATTTTGTAAATCTATCTTAAGATGCCTAACATTGTTCCCAGCCTTATCGTCCTTAGAGTTGGCACAGTTGGTTGGGGTTGTCAGGGCATTCCAACAGAAGAGTTGTAGGTAACCTGTTCAGTTCCCCCAACTTTGTGGGAGCAACTTCGGGTTAGGGCCACTTGCATAGGTTAAAGGTCCGGACTTAAGCGAATCATGAAGTTTGCATGGTGTTTTTTTATAGCTCTCCAGACAACTGGGCCTTCGTTCTTGCCCCTAGATTACAAAAAGAATTGGGATTTGATTGTTATTGGGGTTTTGTTAAATTCCCTTTCTCTTTTTTAAGTGGGATATCATATTCTCTTTCAGAGAGTTTCCTGTTCAACTACGTGCCTTGTTTACAGGTTCTATTACAACTGGCGAATGGGTTTTTTTTAGAAGAGTCTTCATGTATGATTGTAATTGTTTCTTTTTAGTAGAGTTCATTAATTATTGAACTTTAGCAGGTCTTTGCATTTGAATCGTGTGCTGCAATTCTTCTCATGGGTGTGATGCTTAGAAAGCTTCAAGTGTGATGCTTAGAAAGCTTCAAGTGTGATGCTTAGAAGAATATATTTGTTTTGAGTTATTGAGTGATTACTCTTCATGTTTTATATTATATTGGGCTCACTATTATGGAAGTCATTGCGCTACATGTCAATGAGTTGAGCTCGAGTCTAGAATTGTATTGGTTTGACAAATCTTGGTAACAACCGTAATGGTGGCTCTAACCCTTAATGCTGCAATACCATTTCTTGTTGCTATATTGAGACTTTTATCTGTCATTTGTTTTTGTCGATTACATCTATAGATATCATATCTTAGTCTGAATCAGTGAAGGTTGATAGATGACTATAAATCATTGTTTAGATAAACTAAATGGCTGGCTACATCGGAGGAGAGTCTTCTTCGCAAGGACTACAGCAGCAACAGCAAGAAGAAGGTATGGGAGGTCGATGGTACTTGTTGCGAAAGGAGATTGAAGAGAATTCGCCTTCGAGACTAGATGGAATTGACCTCAAGAAGGAGACCTATCTACGGAAGTGCTATTGCACCTTTTTGCAGGATCTTGGCATGAGGCTCAAAGTGTAAGCTTTATTGTCTTAATTGTCTTGTTCTTATTCTCAAAGTCAATACTTCGCTGTGTTAGGTTTGCAATTCTACTTCGAGTTATTGAGAACAGTAATTCAGTATCTTTGTGAAAATCTTTGGGGCTAAAAGATATTAAAAATTTTATGATAATGATATCATTGTTCGTGCCAAATTGCCAATTTGTTCTTTAATCATAAAGACTCCAAGTGCAGGATGCCCTTTTCTCTTAATTCCGGATTTTTGTAGTTTTGTTATCAATGCTTTACTTTAACCTTTTCTGAAGTATTTGGAAGCTTAGGTCTGGGATGAGGAGGGAGAAAGGTGTCACATTGTTGTTGTTGTTGCGGGTGCTGTTGTTAGAAGACGTAATAACATTGTAGCTATTTAAGCTAAACTAGTGGTGTGGACATTCTCTCCAATATAGGAGCATAAATGTAGGTTTCACGGGGATTTTAACTGGATAGCTGTGGGCAAGGGAAAGAGGGTGGACATGATAGACCGATAATTTTGGAGCCTTACTGGAAACCATTTCTTTAGGTTGTTGAAGTGATTTTTGGGTGGTGGTGTTGAATGTTATTTGTACAGAGAACCTTTTACTGTATTAATGGCTTTTTTATGATTTTTTTTTATATAGTGGGAGAAAAACAGAATAATTTTTTTGGGGGTGATTTTCCCTTTTTGGGAGGGGGTTAGTTTCGAGGGGGTTTTAAGTGGGCTGTTGTGCTTGTGAAGGGGTGGCCCGATGAACTAGAAACTTGAAGCTTGATTGGGAGCCCTTTTCTTAGGTTATTTTTGTGATCATTTAGCTTGTTGATATCTTCTTTGCCGAGAGAAACTTAATTTATGCCTTATTACCATGTCAGTACGCCAAGTTCTGCAAATTGTTTCTATGTTATTAGTAACTGTTATGGCTTGCAGGTTGTTGAAATATAATTATTCGTTACCATGTCAGTAGACCAAATTGTTTGGGTAAGGTTTGTGAGTTGTTACCCTCTGAAATCCTAGATCTACGTCTCCATTCTTGAATTAGAAACCTAAGTTATTTGTTCATTACCATGTCAGTACACCAAGTTGTGGAAACGGTGTTTACGTTATTAGTAGTGGTTAAGGCTTGTGGGTTGTTGCAATATGATTATTCATTACCATGTCTATATACCAAGTTGTGCGGGTAAAATTTGTGAGTGTTGCCCTCTGGAATTCTAGATCTATTTTGTGTTGCTAATAGGTTGTTCAAATTACTTGGATGAACGACACACTAGAGCTTCATAATCATTGGATGGAGCTCACCCTGAATCCTATTTATGGTTTCGTCTTGACTATTTCTTTAGGTTATATCGAATATGCGATAAAAGCTTCTGCATATGATCTTATTTACATCAGTTGGCCATTACAGACAAGAGGTCCAACTTTTTCGCTCTGGAAAAGTCTAGTAGCCTTGTTATTACATGCTGCTGAATTATGTTGTACATATGTGGATGTGACTGGAACTATTGTGGTTTATTGTTTAGGCCTCAAGTAACAATAGCTACGGCAATTATATTTTGTCATCGGTTCTTCCTCCGACAATCACATTCAAAGAATGACAGAAGGGTCAGTATGCAATCTTTATAGTATTTCTGTTGTCTATTTGGTTATTTACATAAATGCATTGTGCATTAGCATTTGCATATATCATTTTCAAGATTGATTATTGGATGGCTGTCTTCTTCAAGCAAGCAGAAAACTGACTTTGGGATGTGGATTAATTTGTTGAGGTAAAAAGATGGCATTATATACTCACATTATGAAGAAAATTTATTAGTATGGAGTCAATTTAACCTGCTGTGGTTTTGAGATTTACTAGAAACAATCCTGAATGCATAACTACGTAGATATATGTAAATCCCCTCCCCCCAGACCCAACCAAACAAAAGAATGCCCTACATGCGCGTTATATATGGATGGAAAGACATGACAATTGTGAGCACTATATTATTTTGGTTGATGATATGGTCATTTTTAGACTTTTAGCTATTTTCCCAAGCTAGATTATTAAAAATAATGTGTCAACCTTAAAGTTGAGGCCTTGTCTTATGTTTGATGTACTTATGTTGGGTTTTGTTAACAAGTGCTCCTAGGGTACTAGTTATTAAGTTAACTAAAAGTGGAAATAATACCTCCAAGACACTTTGAAGATGGAGAAATTACATATTGTTATAAAGTCACTTTATTCAAGTGGTAAATTTTAAATTTCCAAAGCATATTCAATAAGGCTTAACAGGCGCCCAAGGGGCACTCTTAACATTTCCATTATGTTAACTAGAAAATAAGCCTGAGAATTGTTGCGAAAGTTTTTATTCTCTTTATCAAGAATTTTTTGACATGTCATTATATAGTCATGTAATAGTCAGCCATGGGTTTAAGTAAGAGACATAATCTTAGGGAAACTCTTAGAAAATTGATAGAAATGATGAACTTACGGATTGATAAATGAAGTTTTGATGATTTAAAGTGAGAATAGACAACATACTTACAGTTTTCATGATTATTTGAAATGCTAAATAGAAAAATGAAATAAGTACTTTTTCCTTGATACCTTAAAATCTTGCTCCATAGAATTTAGTGAGTTATGCTGTACCTTTTTCATTGAAAACTAATTGTGGTTAATAACATATGCATATCTGGTGGAGTTTAGGTTTGAAATAAGTAATAATGAAAGTCGTGCTCCCACCAAATTTTTTTAATTTGTATGCACTCATCCCATTATATATTTACCTTAAGGGACTCGTCAATTAAAAGTAAACTGAAAAGATAAATATGAGCAATCAGCTGACATGAAAATTACGAAAAGGGAAAATAAATACAAAACAAGGAAAAAGAATGGGAAAAATGAAAGAAAATGTAGATTATTGTTGGTGACTGGTAAATTGGAACATGGCATCTAGATGAAGGGAGAACATGTCACCACTGGACAGCTTATTTATGATTGGTTAGGTATGGGAACTATGTACATAAAAAGAGTTTAAAGTGGACCAAACCGAGGACATCAGGGCACTGGGTATATGTCTGATGGACCAGTCTCATGGTCCCAGACCTTTCATCTTGTGAGAAGCCCACCCAGTTAAAACTCCTTTATTGCATTGTAGATAGTTAGAAAAACAGAGGGGTGGGGAAAGAGGGAAAAGGATAAGAGGGGTGGGGAAGGGAAGTATAATGGCTATCTTAATTTGAATGACTGAAAATAATATGATACTGAAATTATTGGCTCTTTGACGGATCAGACAATGTGGTCTGGATGAACTCACTTAAAGAGCTAGGTGTGATGAACTCTCCTTTTATGACAATCTACGACCATTGTAAGATATTATGAAGTGTTTCGATGTTTCTGTTGAATATTTGACATTTTGGAATTCGAATAACCTTGTTTTGTGAGGCTGGTTCTTTGTATAGTGCTACAATGTTAATTACCAAATCTCTATCTGCTCAGATGAGATAGGATAAATTAGGCTAGTCGGAATTATTTTCATTTTGTTTTTCCAACTGGACCACTATCACCTGTCATCTTTTGGTGTTGAGTTGTGCTGATCCTGGGTTCCCTTGCTGTAGATTTTCAAACTTATGCTTCCTTATGAAGTTGGCATTCTGGGTACTGGTAACTCAGAGCATTTCTATTTTTGGACATTGTCATGCATGTCTTTGTTTCATTAGTTGTGTTTTTATGTCTGTCTTTTTCTGTTGATGGCATTAATTGCTTTAGGCCCATAATTTCGGCCTTGATGAAATCATGCTTTCAAGAAAATCTATATGGAGTGGTCTAAAATGGCACTTGTCTCCTGGTGACTTATTACTCCTGAATTAGATTTCCTAACTAATGGGAAAAAAATTAGGGTGATTTTTCTTTATTTGATTGGTCTCATTTTCAATGCTTCACAGACAATTGCAACTGTGTGCATGTTCCTTGCTGGGAAAGTTGAAGAGACTCCGCGCCCACTGAAAGATGTTATACTTGTTTCTTATGAGATAATCCATAAAAAGGATCCTGCTGCAGCTCAGAGGATCAAACAGAAGGTTTTCCTTAACTTGCCATTTTGTTTTTGAAGAGATTAATTCTTGCCTGTTGGGTTGTTGCGAGTTCTTTTGCCACTTCTTACTGTCTTGAATTTGCTTGTGCTGCCTAAGTAGAATCTGTTCATGTTATTGTGTACTGAAGTCTAATTTTACTGTTTGTATCATTGCACAGTTATAAGATAGGGACTATCATATCGTGTGTTCATCTGTATGAAAAGAAGGATCATTCTTGAATTTGTATAGGCACTGCATAGTATGCCTATGTTTGAGCGAACTTGGCTGACAAACATGACCCATGCTGCTGTTTTTTGAGAATGTTCGTCAATATTAAGTTGGGAGAGAAATGATATGGGAGAAACGCGAAAGGCAATGCCTACATATTGTTTAAATGTATAATGAAGGAAATTGATGTGGAGAGGAAAGAAGATAGGACTTGAAAGCTCTTTGTATTATATTTTATGAAATTAGACTGGTAATACTGCAGTATACATGCCTTGGGAAATTGATTTACTTCATTTCCTTCCAAAGTCGGGAGGAAATTGAATGTCTCACTAGGAAATATTCCATCCATTTCTGTTCATTTCTCTCTTTGTTACAAGAACAGAGGAAATGTTCCCTTTAGAATTAGTTCCTCCCACTTACCTCCACTTCCCTCTGTTTAAACATAGCATTAATGAGATTATCCCTGTGTCATTCCCATTTCTGCATAATCAGTGGTGCTATTGAACAAAAAATCGTGTATTTTTAATGTCCTCTTTCGTCATTATATTTGTCAGCATCACGTGATGTCTTGATTTCCCTTGGCCTTTTCAATCTAAATCTGAATGTTCAGGGGTTGATACTTGTTTGGAATCTCTCTAAAAGTAAAGTTTTAGAGTTTTCTTCTTAGAATCCTTGTATAAAGCTATTGGCAAATTCAATTTCAATAACTGTGGTCAGTTTCCTGCCAAGGTTATATGGCTTCCTAATGTTTTGCCCACGATATCTTTCTTTAAATGGGCCGCTTATAGAAACCTCACTTCCGAGAACCCCAGGAAGTGGAATTTTGTTCTAATTGATCTGTGTTGCTTGTGCAAAGTATCTAGGGAACACATGTATCACTTGCTTATTTATTGTGATTTGCTCAAAATCTTTGGCATTTCCTTTTTTCTGGTATATGTCGGGGTTACGCAATAGTTAGTTCTGCAGTTGTCTTCTTTGTGCTCTCCTTTTGAAATTGGTGCGGAGTGCTGCTCCACTTTGCCAAATGTGGTGCATTTGGAAGGAACGAGATGGGAGACTAATTAAGGGATCTGAATCTTATCTTAATTTCTTTTTTCCTGATTTTAAAAATATGTGGACTTCATGTTTTAATCTGTTTATGGAGTAGTGTGTGCATTAAGTTTCCTTTTCCTGTTTTTGTATATTCCTATTGTACTTCTATTGAAGAACTTTATCTTCCTAAGAAATATTGTGATTTCCCTTAGTTTTGGATGCTCTGACACTCATGGTTCTGTATCTTGCGCAGGAAGTATATGAGCAGCAGAAAGAGCTAATTTTACTGGGAGAGAGGGTTGTACTTGCCACCTTGGGATTTGACCTAAATGTTCACCATCCGTACAAACCTCTTGTTGAAGCAATAAAGAAGTTTAAGGTTGCGCAGAATGCACTTGCTCAAGTGGCATGGAATTTTGTGAATGATGGGTATGATTGAGATTCGTCTCTTTCGTTTCAAGTCTCTGATAATTCCAATTCAGTAGTCTCTTGCCTTTATGTTCTTTCACACACTGTAAGGTGGCTTGCAGACTGAGGACATCGCTCTGCCTGCAATTTAAGCCCCATCATATTGCAGCAGGTGCTATATTCCTTGCTGCCAAGTTCCTCAAAGTGAAGCTCCCATCAGATGGTGAGAGGGTCTGGTGGCAAGAGTTTGATGTCACCCCACGTCAATTAGAGGGTTGGTGTCCTCTTTTAAATTTTTCTGTAAGGATATTGTGGACACTTTGGGGCCTCTGTTGAACAGGCTCTCAGTCCCATATTGCATGTAGACATTGATATTTCATCGCATTCAAAATAAGTCCATTGGGTTACTTATTTCTAGGAGTGATATCACATTGGTTTGTCACGGATGTCTTTAACCCCACACTCTTTATGATGCACCGTTGCCTGTATCTTATGTTTTGACTCATACATCGCAATGTGGGTTCATATCTGCCTTTTTCTTACTATGCAGAGGTTAGCAATCAGATGCTGGAACTATACGAGCAAAACAGGGTTCCTCCATCTCAAGGGAGTGAAGTTGATGGAAGTGGCGGTGGCGGTGGGTCAGCTCATCGGCCCTCTTCAAAAGTTTCAGGGGCAAATGAGGAGCAGGCCTCGAAGCAAGTGTCCTCACGTGCTGCACTTGACCATTCGGTCTCTGACTATCATGGGTTACATCAGAGACCTGCTCAAAATCATGGTGCCGATCATGCTGATGTGGGTAGTGTTATTACTGATCAAAGGGTTGATGTGGGAGCTAAAGAGAACGCAAGAGAGCATCCCGATCAATTTCCTGGTAAAGACAACACGAGAGAGCATCTTAACAAATACAAGGCAGATTCGGAACATGTTTTTGGAGAAGATCAAGAAAGAAGTAGCAAAAGAAATGATTTTACAGAAGAAGGGGAGTGGATAGACGCTGCATCACGTAAATCAGTTGTCAATCGAAATCCAGAACTCCGGGAAGGATCAGTTGGTCAGTCGCCAAAGGAAGCCATCAAGATTGATAAGGACAGGGTTAAGGCCGCGCTTGAGAAAAGGAGGAAGGAGCGTGCAGAAACGACAAAGAAAAAGGATGTTATGGATGAGGATGACCTGATTGAGAGGGAGCTAGAGGATGGTGTTGAGTTGGCAGTGGAAGATGAGAAAATCAGGAGGGAAAGAAGACCAAGCTGGTCTAGAAGTGACGAGCTTGATCATGAAAAGGACCATGAGGATATGGGAGATGGGAAAACCCTGATAACAAAGGGTCAGTCATCAAGAAGAGCAGAAGGCGAATATGCGGAGGAAGGGGAAATGCTGGATGATGCTTCACCTATGCCGAACTCACGCAAAAGAAAAGGAAGCCCAATTGATAGACAAATAGAAGGAAAGAAGCGGCATGAACACCTATCAAATTTGAACCGAGAAACTGGAGATGACGGACACAGGATGGGTCGCGTTGGTTATGGAGAGAAGGATCATAGAAGGCATGGCCCTGAAAATGGCTATACTGCAGAGAGGGAGCACAGAAGACATGCGTTAGAGACTCATCGATCATGATGGTGTGGTGCGTATTCCTTGTCGAGCAATGTCAGATTGCATTGTTTTAGTGGGCAGTATTAGTATGTCACGTATTGCAACTGACTGTATTGGGCACATTATTATACCGGAGGACTTGTCCATGGATTGAAGGGACTTGCTGCATGCAGCAACTGTGGGACATCTCCGAAGAAGCCAAGAGTTTTATTTACTGATTTGTTTCTTTAAGTCGGAGTAAGGAACATATGCCGTATTCAAACTTATTCCTGCATTTGGGATTCCTGCGTCACGTCAAAATGTTGTGCATGTCGCTGCACCTACTGATGATATGTGTCCGACACTTACTGGGTTTGAGCTAATGCTTATCACTATACCCGATAGTGTTGCTGAGATTCCTTAATTGTCGATAACTATACGTACGCAAGCTGTAAGATCATGTATTAAATGACAATTTTTCGCTAGTCTTGATGCGAACTGTATGAAGAGCAACTATATCTCTCCTTTCTGAAGTTCTATGTTGTAAATGGGAGGCACCCCCTTTGGTGCTCTATTTAATGGGGTTCCGACTCGTAAGAAACAAAAAGGGTAAGTGAGATTGGGAGTAATTATAGGCCTCTTCATTAGCCTGAACTGTGTCAGTCTTTAGCCCAAAAGCAATGACATGTCTTCATTATAGGACGGATATTCATCTTTTGCCTTTTGAGTGTTCATTACAGGACAAAACCCAGTTTGGGAATTTTTCAGTCTAGAGAGTAATGTCTTTTGCCCACCTATGTCAGGCGACACAGCAAATACTATTATCCTTTCAAAATGATAGTATCTGCCATCTGAGTGGATGAGAACATCATATACTTAAAAAACAACCGAAAGGCTCATGTGAACTTGGCATGTGTACTCTCACTATTCAGGCTACAGATGACCTTAAGAAGACATGGAAACCCAAAATGTGCAAAAGCGAAGCGTGGGAAATCGAACTCGTAAAGTCATCTTGATTTTAATGCCATTTGATCGATGATGGAGCTTAGTTCCCCAACCTGTAAGATACTTAACAGTGAGCACATGTAAATGTTAGGTGCGAATCCTTAGGCCCGTCAAATGGGTGGGTCGGGTCGCTAAATTGTCCCACTCAAATTGATCTATTTAATCCGTTTTGACATATTTCCATGATCTAGTGACTTATGTTGGACTCAACTCATACGCGACCCGATCCACATTGTTAAAAACAATTTCATATTTAACCAAATCTTGAAAAATTCATATCTAAATTGAAGTGAGAGCTCGGAGAGAGCGAACACAAGACCGAGTGAGGGCGACAAAAGGAGAAAAAGAGAGTCATAGAAATATTTTGGATATGAGTAAGCTGTGAACCCATTAAAACATATGTTATTTTGGGCCTTTTCCCTTTCTAAACCTATTTACTGATGTAACTAACTCATCTAACAACTCAGCTTATCAAATAGAGTTAAGAAATGGATTTATAACCCATTTTGACAGGCCTGCGAATCCTATCATGCGCGACTCTAAGTACTCTTTTTTTCTTTGTAGAACCACATTGTCTGGAGCGGACTATCAGCATAATCATTTTCTCTGGGCACCATCGCGAGGGTTCCATGCTAGTTAAGGAACATTCTTACTTGTCACCAAGCAATACCCTATCACCATACCCTCGCCGAGGTGTTAGGAACCCATTCACCAAATGTAAATACACACATTACTAAGTTAAGCGGGCGCAATCTCGTATTTCGAAGTATTGGCCTTTACCCCTAAACTGTCACGTGGTGTATGACTAGTACTCATTTACCTAATGAAAAGTACATGGACCCCTCTAATCTTTACTATTGCCGACTCCTACAATTTGCAAAGGATATAAATTTATATTATATGTACAATTTGTGGAATTAGAACAAAATCAGTGTGTTGGAGACTGACATTTCCAACAGTACCGACCCCTTAGATGGGGATCAAAACGTCATCATCGTCCTGAATTTCTTTATACCCTAGTGGCAATTTTCTAAGTTATTTACATAACTCGAGATAATTATCATAGAAGTGCGAGCTGATTAAACTAATCGAAGCATAAAAATCAACGAAGGCTAGACAGCTAATCGGTAATTTATGTCGAATAATCTGTTGAGAAGCTCCCTTTCTTCCTTAATTAATCACACGCACTGATTATAAGATTGATAGCCAAACTAATTACAATGCCAAAAGGCCATCAAATTGGGGACATAAATAAATTATTCTAGAATAAATTAAAGGTACAAAATGAATGTCCTAGAGATCCGTAACTTCTTCTTTTCCGCGCACTTAGAGGTACCAAAAGTTGGGGGAGATATATGATTATTGGAAGAAGTAAATTAGATGGAACGTTAACATTATTATTAAAGGAAAGTAATGGGACTTTATCCTTGTGGGGAAATCGAGGATTCGAGGTGAATAAACAAAGATGGAAAGGGGGAAAAAATATTAAAAAAAGGACCGACAAGTATCTTTTTCTCGTATTTGTGCATCACTAAAAAAAAATAAAAATTGAGATAGCTTAAACATGTCCTTGCTACGAATATTTGGGTCGGTAAATAATTTAATGCTGAAAGGGTTAAACTTTATAATGAAAATGTTAAAATATCCAGCTCAATAAATTAGATTTACAAGTGGAGAGAGACCATATATATATAGCCAGTGTATGAACCCCGTAAAGAGGTGGTGCGGGATTCTTTAATGTCGGGATAGTTACTAAAATAGTCCTAAACCTATTGTACAAATGCCAATTCAGTTTTAAACCTTTCAATGTGGGGAAAATTACCAAAAATGTCTAAACCTATTGTGTGAATGTCAATTCAATCTTAAACATTTCAATTTGGCCAATTTAGTGCTAAACTTTTGACAATTTGCCAATGTAATTCTTTCAGCCAATTTTGGTCGGTAATCACTAACGCAGATGCTGGCCGTCCTACGTGACACGACCGGCGTAGGACGGCTAGTGGCTAGTGCCAACGTGGACAACTATACGCATTTTCTAAAATTTTCTGAATTTTTTATAGTATTTTTTAATTTTCTTTTTTCCTTTCCTTTTTTTTGTTTTATTTCTTCCTCCGCTAGTTGCTGGCCATCGCCGAGGCCCGAGAAAATAAAAAGAAACGAAAAAAATTATAAAAATTCAGAAAATTTAAAATAAAATGAAACAAATTGTCTATGTTAGCGCTGATCATGTCACATAGGATAGGCGGTGTCCACATCAGAGATCACAGGCCAAAATTAGTCGAAAGGACTATATTGACAAATCGTCAAAAGGTTTATGACTAAATTAGCCAAATTGAAAAGTTTAATACTTAATTGGCACTCATACAATAGATGTAGGACTTTGTTTTTTGCAATTTTAAGGGATAAACCCTCTTATTAAACGTGGAATTTGGACAAACAGGGGCTTGGACATGCGATGGCAGAACCTGATTCTATTACAATGTTAGAATGTCTTTAAATTAATAGGTGGATTAATACACCATATATATATATTATATAAACCCAAAACAGGCCTAATATGGAAATTTTCGAAAAAAATTCAGAATTAGTCCTCATGGCATTTTGCATAAATTAATTATTCTATGTTTTTTTCGTTTTTTTTCTTGGGTGGGGTGTGGATTATAACTAATGTAACTAGAGAGCACGCGTTGAGAAAAGACTTTACCACCATTTTGATTTTATTTTTTGCATTTTGTCTCATTTCAGTTAATGACAGAGGACCACAGATATATGTTAAGAGCATGAAACCATCACATCCTCACACATTACATCAACAAATTATAATATTAGCTAGCCTTTTTAAATCAAAAGGTCAAATTAGCACAAGGCTAGAGAATTTACATGTTGAAATTCCCTAATCTCCACATTAGTCAGCCCTAATTTGGGGTTGAGTCCTTATCCTATGTGGTCATCAAAATAGGAGGGTTTCCAATTTCAATCCATTCCCGCACTTGCAAGTACCGCATTTCTTGGCACGTCATGCCCTGATATTATATACTAAACCAATCGTTGATTACAAGAGAAAATTATCTTAATCGATCTCAAACATATCGTACGGACAACAATCCAGTTTTAAGCTCTTCGATTTTATCAATTTAGTCCTAAACATTGGCAAGAAACTCTAATGTAGTTGTTCCGGCCAATTCCCGCCGAGGAAACTGCCGACACGACGGTGTGCCACGTCAGCAATGATGTCTTTTTAATATTGCGCAGCGTACGATGTCACTAGCTTAACGTAGACAAAATCATGTTTCTGTTTTTTTTTTCCTTTTTCTATTCGCGCGGGACACGCCTCGGCTCAGAAGAACGTCGCCTCCACGGGCACCACACGTTCCCTCCCCCGTTTCGGCGAATCTGGGCATGTGCCCCAATAGTTTCTTTGCCGCCACGTGGCGCTGGATCGTGACATTAAGACAGAATAATATGGAAAGGACAAAAAAAATAAATTAGGTGATGAATCAGGCCCGATGGAAAAGAACAAAATGAGAGAGATTTGAAAAGGCAAGACATGTCGGATTAGATCCGGTCATAATATGGAAAGGACAAAAAAATTGAAGTAGGAATTGGATCGCCAAAAAGAAGAAGAGAAAAAAAAAAGAGAATAGGAGGGAATTTGATTCGCCGTCTTTTGAAAAAAAAATCGATTGTACTAATTTGAGATTTTTTATGGTATTAACTCTTGTATTTATAGTATTAGTTATACGATAAATTCAGTGTGATGGAGGATCAAAGAAGTCAGTTTGATCTTTTTTATGCACATGAGTATTAGTTATACGATAAATTCTTACACTCGTTGATTGTACGAAATATTTTTTACACCGATGAAGGATCAACCGCAGCTCATTTAGATCAACCCGAAATAACTAAAAAAAAAGTATTTATAGAATTACACATACAAAAATTTACTTTTTCTATTTATCCAATCTGTATATTAATTTTCTTCTATCATTAGAGGATTAGAAGAGTTTATTATTCAGCGAAAATCAAAATATTGAAGTAGTTACCTTACTATCAATATGGGTCAAGAACTTGACATGCGAGTCTTACTTGACTGAATTTTTAATTTTTTAAACACACATGTGAGGGTGACGCATCCAAACATACAATGATTAACATAATAAATCCTCCCATTAGGATTAACATAATACAAGAGGAGACTTTGAATCTCCTAAGTCCTGACAAGTAAGGGCCGCACGGTACACATGGCGACCATCGAGTGGAGGGAATGCTCGCTGGCATGGAAGGCCGGACCTACCTAATATTTTCTCGGAAACCTAGTAACATGGTATATGTATTAACCAAGAAAGGAAAAGAAAAGCTAAATAGAGAAACAAATGATTTGCTCAAACGGGAAAAAACAAGGGAGGGGGGGGAAGAAATACTAAATAACGAGGAAGTATTAAGTAGAGGAGGAAAACAAGGAAACAAATCACGATATAGTAAAGTCAACATGAAAAAAAAAAATCCATACTTACTTTATTAGAAAAGAAACAAGAAAGTATTATCTGGACCCAACTCATGGCGCCACAAGTTTCGATATAAAGGAATAACCTCCCATGATCAACTTGCCGACCCCCAAAATCTCAAGAAGAAGAAGAAGAGGAGGAGAAGGGATTAGTGTTGGTCACCGAAAACAATGTCCACTTCACTCCTCAAGCGCACCCCCGTCCTCCTCCTCCTCCTCCTCCTCCTCACCTTCTTTCTCCTCGTCCCGCCGGCGCTCTCGGTCGCGCCCGAGGAGTGCACCGCCGAATCCGGCAAATGCGTCAACAAGGCCAAGGCCCTCCCCCTCAAGATCATCGCCATCGTCTCCATTCTCGTCACGAGTATGATCGGCGTCTGCTCCCCGCTGCTCATGCGCTCTGTCCCGGCCCTCCACCCCGACCGCGACCTCTTCGTCATCGTCAAGTGCTTCGCGGCGGGCATCATCCTCGCCACCGGGTTCATGCACGTGCTGCCCGACTCCTTCGACATGCTGTCCTCGCAGTGCTTGCAGGAGAACCCTTGGCACAAGTTCCCGTTCTCCGGTTTCGTCGCCATGCTGAGCGCCGTTGTGACGCTGATGGTGGACTCAATGGCGACGAGCGTGTATAGCCAGAAGAACAACGCTGGCATCATTCCCAACAGCGAGGGCAGCAAGGGCCGTGACGGTGACCTGGAGATGGACGTGGCGAACGCCGTGCAATTGCATAGCCACGGCCACCACCACCACAGGGAGGCGGCGAAGGTGGAGGGTGCGAGTTCTCAGCTGGTTCGGTACCGGGTAGTTGCAATGGTAAGATCATGCTCAGTTAGATTTAATTTGTATGGTACTGCTAAAGTCCACATAGACGTGAAGCTCGCACGGATCAGCAAGATGAATCCCCTCCACCCCACTATCAATATTTCGCAAATAGCATCATCCATTTACATAGACCATGTGAAATTCAATTTAGCAGTACACATGAAGAACATTTTTAAGGCATTTTTTTCTGGGGCTTGAACTTAAAGGAAACAAATGTCGACATAGATGCAAGACTCGCTTCATATGCTTTAGATTTCGTATTATGCATTATGTATTATCTACCTTATGGACCGTTCAAAAGTTTATCATTGGCATGTGGGATCTCCTGCAGCTCTTGGGTTTGTAGTTGAATGCTTATGTATCGAATTTCTTGAAAAGAAGGTTGAAATCTAGTCTTTTGTGTGCTTGGGCAGATTCGGTCTTATAGAACATAGGACCAGACAATGAAGGCAGAAATTGCAATCAAACACAGACACTTCAAAAACAATTAAGAAATGCGGAATACTTTGGTCAAGGAAGATGATTGTTGGTGTTGGTATAGCTAATGCTCAATGAGCTGATTAACTTAACACTGAGTGGTTGGATGAGAATTGTTAAGAAGTTGCATTAGCTCGTCTTTGGGTGAATATATATTGGGATATCGGTGGCCAGAAAAAAAAAGGATAGAAATGGTAGTATTTTTAGTCATAATTGAAAGATTGAAGAGGATTTCTTTGAGAAATCATATGATGGACTTTAGGAAATTCTCGAAGAGAATTGTGTTCTACGATATATATTTATCGATCAGAATGGTTAAAGGATTCAATTTAAGTAACTTCTTAGGGTCTTCTCTCTACACTTAACAGCTATTTTCCTAGTTTATTTTAAAAAATCCTGATAATGTCAAAATGAGCGTTGTAAATCATAAAAAATCACGAAAGATTGTATAGGGATCTTACATGTTCGTGTTATAAGACTTTAAGTGTTTCAATTCGAACAAAAGTCAAATCACGAGAGTCGCATGATTAGAAAACCAGTAAACATTAGAAGTTATGATTTGATTACGTGCATCCCTCCTATTAGCGACCCTCGTACAATTTGATTTTCTCAATTGGGATAATGGAATTTGTAAGATATATCGAACTTACTTGAACTCCTACTTTCTCTTAATTAAAACCAAGTATATCTATACCTCGAGAAAAATATGATCACATAGTGTTGGAAATTAATATATTAGCTTCAAATTGTTTTCCTCACATATCAATTTCTTTTCTTGACATTGAAATTGGGATCAATTGTACTCAGGTGCTGGAGCTAGGAATAGTGGTACACTCGGTGGTGATAGGGCTTGGATTGGGAGCTTCAAGCAATGTGTGCACCATCAAAGGCCTTGTGGCTGCTCTTTGCTTCCATCAAATGTTTGAAGGCATGGGTCTTGGTGGCTGCATTCTTCAGGTAACAATTTATATCCACAAACCTCAAAATGTTTTACAATTTATAACGAATAAAAACAAATTAATCTGCAGAAATCGTTGTTATCTCAAGTTCACATGCTGGCCCAAATTGGTTAATTGGAACTTATGCTTAACACTATGAACAGGCAGAGTACAAGTTGCTGAAGAAGCTGGTGATGGTGTTCTTCTTCGCGGTGACAACCCCGTTTGGGATCGCACTGGGGATCGCGCTGTCAAGTACGTACCGGGAGAACAGCCCGAGCTCGCTCATCACGGTCGGCCTGCTCAATGCATCGTCTGCGGGACTCCTGATCTATATGGCCCTGGTCGACCTCCTCGCCGCCGACTTCATGGGTCCAAAGCTGCAGCGCAGCATCAAGCTCCAGATCAAGTGCTATGCTGCCGTGCTTCTGGGTGCCGGTTTCATGTCTCTCATGGCCAAATGGGCTTGAGGTTATGCTAATTATCCTCAATAACAAAATGTGTAACTGGAGTTCTATTCTTTGTTCTTTTTGCTATTTGGTTTATGCTCGTGCTACATGGTGTTTGGCTTTTGGCTTTTAAACAACAATAGAATGTGATTATCGTGTATATGATATGCTCTCACCATATGGGATGCTAAATCATGAACACGAAAAAAGTATTTTATAGATCCGCTACCTTACGGTCGTGAAAAGACGGATTAGTCACTTTTGAAATGTCGTTTCCTCTTTATTGGACAATGCTGACACTCGCACCTCAACAAAGATGCCAATGACCAAATAAGGTAGAAAGACACCCGCCTTTTAAATTACTTTTTACTAATGAAAATCCGTGGATTGTGTTTCTTCATCTTAACAAATATAAAGGTAGATAAAAATATCATTTCAAATTAAATTGCAAGAAGTTTGAATTAATGTTAATTATAAAATTGAAAGTTTGGATAATATTTCTTTTCAACATATAAACTAATTTAATTTAAAGTAAGAAATTAGCATCGTATAACGTGCCACTAAATTATTGAGTAGACATTAAAACAACATGTACAGTAGAAATCTGCATTTCATCAATGACAAGTGACAACCTATAGTTATGTGCATTATGCAAAATTTTCAGGGAAAAGCATCCTCAGAATTTTCCGATATATGTAAAATGATTTTCATTTTTTTCCTCTAAGGAGAATAGCAATATGTTAATTTCGTAGTTGGTGTAACTTAACGATTTAATTTTATTCGTTAATGCAAAATTCTTAAAAAGGTGAGTGCTGATATAAACAGGACTTGTTGTGTGAGTAAAGTGAATATTGATGAAGATTTTCTAATATTATTATTTTGGGTACTACTTTCCAATTTCATTGTTATTATACTTTAGTAGTTTCGACTTTGCTAGAACTAACTTCCACTCAAATTATTTCAACTGTACTAAGCTTATTTTAGTTGGACTTTTGTATTTTTGTTTTGGATCGTACATAAACAACTAAAAATAAACTATAAACTTCCAACTAAAATAAAGGTCACAATATTTTTTACTAAGCTTATTTTTATTCAAACTAAGAGAATGTCCGTATTAGTTTCAATTTCTCACTTAATTAAATAAGATATGAATAATTTTTCGTAATATATATAGTTTTTTATTTTAATTTTCCTCAGCTTTTGCATTAAGAGTGTAATGGTGAACTGGAACTTATTCACGTAATCAAATAAGTCGTACATCAAAATAAAATTATTTAATCTGTAATAAGATATGATTTTAGCCTTTTGTTACTCTGTCATTTAATTCACTAAGATACATATTGTTTATTCGTGCAATTCATATTATAATCAAAGGGAAATTGTCCAATTTGTCCTAAACCTATTTTACGGATGACAATTCAGTCCTAAATTTTTTAATTTTTTTCTAGTGTAATCCTACACCTTTGTATGAAATTCCAATACAGTCCTTCCGGCCAATTTTCATCGAAAATCACTGACGTGGAAATCCAGTCATTACCGACCGTCCTATATGGCCCTCGCCTAGCTATACAAGGGTTGACCGGGGTTAGAAAAAGAAGGAAAGAAAAAATAAAAAAATAAAAAATTTAAAAATTGTCCACATTAGCGCCGATTGAGCCACATAGAATGGATGGTACTGATAAGATTGTCACCTCACAAATTTTGGGCCAAAATTGGCCGGAATAACTAAATTAGCAAATTGTCAAAAATTTAATACTAAAATGGTAAATCATCAAAAGATTATGATTAAATTGACATAATTGGAAGGTTTGGGACTAAATTGGCACAAGTGCAATAAGTTTAGGACTAAATTGGCCAAATTGAAAGATTTAGGGCTAAATTAGCACTAATGCAATAGGTTTATAACTTTTTTGGTAATTTTCCCGTTTGCAAATAATAGACATCTATATTATATACACACTGTGTGGAATTAGAAAAGAATCAAGTTGTTGGAGACTGACATTTCCTATAGTACGGACCAATTAGATGGAATAAAAAAATCGTAGGGACCATTTTGTTGGCACGTAAGTCTATCTATTTTCTAGGAGAAGCAAATATCCAAATCGCCAAAACGTCATCGTCCTGAATTTATTTAAGCCCTATTGGCAATTTTCTAATTTATTTACGTAACTTAAGATAATTATTGTAGAAGTGCGATCCGATTAAACTAATCGAATCACAAAAATCAGTGAAGGCTAGACAGCTAATCAGTAATTTATGTCGAATAATCTACTAAGAAGCCTCCCTTTCTTCCTTAATTAATCACATGCTCTGATTGTAAAATTAACAGCTAAACTAATTATCAAGGCAAAAGACCAGCAGCTTTGGAGAATAAATAAATTATTCTAGAATAAATCAAGGGTACTCATTTCAATGTCCTCGAAATCCGGAACTTCTTCTTATCCACGAACTTAGAGGTACAAAAAGTTGGGGAGATAAATGGTTTTTTACGAACTAAATTAGATAAAACGTTAACAATATTATTAAAGGAAAGTAATTGGACTCTAACCTTGTGGGAAAATCGAAGATTTTGAGATGAATAAACAAAGATTGAAAGGACAAAAAGAAGAAGAAGATGAAGACATAGACAAGTTTCTTTTTCTCGTATTTGTGCATCAATAAAGTCTTTTATGGTCCTTTTAATTTTTTTGTGCAATCGATATTTTGGTCGGTGTATAACTTAAGGCTGAAAGCCTACAAAAAAATCTTAGTAATGTGAATTACGCGAAATTTGACGGATGAGGGCCGTACGTGCGAAATAAACTGAGACGAAATCTGACTTCAATACCGCTTTAAAACGTCTAACCCAAAAATCCAAAGTTACTAACATAGGGACACCGCATGTACATATATAATATATAAACCCCTTAGATAGACGATGTTAGATGCTTTAACTTAGAACATAGCTAAATACGAAAATTTTCATAAACTTAAAATTTTTCGATTAATTACATACCCTCATAGCATTTTGCATATATCAACTATTCTATAATGCGTTTTTTCGTTTTTGTGGTTTTAACTTAAGTAGCTAGCGAACGTGCGTCGAGAAGACTTTCACCACCATTTTGATTTTGATAACCCCAGATATACATATATATATATATATGTATGTTAAAGCAAGAAGCCATCACATTCTCACATATTACATCAACAAATTATAATATTAGCTTTTCTAAATTCAAAGTCAAATTAGTATAAGGCTAGAGAAGTACAAGTTGACATTCCCTAAAGTATTCATTAGTCAGCTTTAAGTTGGGTTTAATTACTTCTGATGGTGTTGAGTCATTGTCTGGTGTGTCATATTAGAAATGGAGGTTTCGATATCAATCTGTATCAGTACTTGCAAGTACCACATTTCTTGGCATGTTGTGCCCTAATATTATATACAGACCAATCGATGAGCTGGCAATCATTTCGGGTCTCGGGTTCAGGTTATTTCCGACCCGTTTCCTATGTTTTCATGTTGAGTTGAGTTGAGTTCCTAGTCTATGGACAATTTGAGGGCCTTAAGAAAAAAATTTCATTCCTTTCTCTCGTAGCCCCAGTTGGTATGTTGTTATTACTTAACTATAATTTGAATTTTCCAGTGTCGTTAACGCGAGATTTGATTTGCAATCAGGTTTTTTTTTGTGTGTTGTGCATGTTACTGTAGCATATGCCCTTTTGATAACCCAAGGAGGTTGCTCAAGTGATAAAGGTTTGAGTTTGAATGATCATACTTGTGCACTCTCTTCGGGCCGCCTCCGAGAGCACAAGTTTATGTGTCTCTAGTAATTACCCGGTGTGAGTGGGAGAGGGAACCGTCGCACTAGATATGGATCAATTGGATATACAAAGAGTCCCAAACACCCGGATGATACCAATAAATAGTCATGCCTTCTTGATTCTTTTTTTCCAAAGAAGATTATGTAGGGTCTACCGGCACCCTCAGAAAACCAAACTCTAGCGTACATAAATTTGCAAAAGCACAATTGATTGAAGTCTGAATTTGAAATCTCTGGTCTAATATAACTCATAAGAACATTCTGAATTCATGGGAAGAGAGAGGAGTGGTCAAGTATTCCTTTATCCGGTGGGAAATATCACATTGCTAGTATGTTGTAATTAGTTTGTTCATGGCCACATTGTTAGAGGTGACTATAGTGTGAGCGCATTGCATTTTGATTTTGATAACTCCAGATATATATATATATATATATATATATATATATATATATATATATATATATATATATATATGTATGTTAAAGCAAGAAGCCATCACATTCGCACATATTACATCAACAAATTATAATATTAGCTTTTCTAAATTCAAAGTCAAATTAGTATAAGGCTAGAGAAGTACAAGTTGACATTCCCTAAAGTATTCATTAGTCAGCTTTAAGTTGGGTTTAATTACTTCTGATGGTGTTGAGTCATTGTCCTGTGTGTCATATTAGAAATGGAGGTTTCGATATCAATCGGTGTCAGTACTTGCAAGTACCACTCTTCTTGGCACGTTGTGCCCTAATATTATACACAGACCAATAGATGATCTGGCAATCGTTTCGGGTCTCGGGTTCGGGTTATTTCCGACCCGTTTCCTATGTTTTTATGTTGAGTTTTTTTTTTGGGTCGAATTTCTTGTTGAGTTGAGTTCCTAGTCTATGGACAAGTCGGGGGCCTTAAGAAAAAATATTTCACTCCTTTCTCTCGTGGCCCCAGTTGGTATGTGAATTGTCCACTGTCGTTAACGCGAGATTTAATATGCAAATCAGGTCTTATTTGCATTTTGCCTATTACTGTAACATGCCCTTTTGATAACCCGAAGAGGTTATTCAAGTGATAAGCGTGTGTGTTGCTCTCCTTGTTTATGGTTTGAGTTCGAATGATCATACTTATGCACTCTCTTTGGGCTGCCTCTGTGAGCATAAATTTATGCCTCTAGTAATTACCCGATGTGAGTGGGAGAGGGAACCGTCGCACTAGGTACGGATCAGTTGGATATTCAGGGAGTCCTAGACACCCGGACAATACCAATATACAATTATGCCTTCTTGATGCTTTTTTTCCGAAGAAGATTATGTTAGGTCTGCCGGCACCTGCAGAAAACCAAACCCTAACGTA